GGGTTGTTTTAAGAGCATAGAAAGGCTCACTCAGATCCCATTACTTGCCCCAGCCTGACGGTTTACCACTAGAGTTATTCCTTGGGGGGAAAGCACTGTCCCCAGAAGTTTCCAGATAAAATGCAAGCATGACAATCTTCAGAGAAAGCCCCATCCCACCTAAATGACTCTCCGACACACAGAGCTTTCTGCTTAGCACAAAAGCCATTTTATATAAGCTTTTGACAGACATGGAAACACGTGGGTGTGTGTGGCTTATTTGTGAGCGAACGGGAGGGATGCCCGAAAGGACACAGCCTGGGGAGGTGGGCAGACTCGAGCCTCCCACTTCACAGTGTCTCCAGTTAGCTCTTAAGGGTGGCAAAAGGTCTTGAAACACATTTCATTTTAATTAGCTCTAACAGAAAACACAGCACACAAGGGGTATCATAAAGGAAGTGAAGACCAGATGTCACTATTTCTAAAAGACTGAGAATCGCTGCTTTGGATAATCCAAGTTGGTGTCCCTAAAACCAGATGTTGTGTCTGATAGAAAGCTCCAGATCGTCAATACTGATCGATGTGCTTTTCACCTCTGCTTCCTCTGTTTGCCTACTCTGAGCTCAGAGGATCAACCATGAGACCAAAAGGCAAAGGGAGTTCTGAGTATGGGAGCCGCTCTTACATAATCAAGTGCTAATCACATGCTAGCAATGTGGCTGATACAAAATGAACATTCATAAACAAGAAATTATATATATTTGGCTGACATAATAATAGTCTTTGGCGAACGAGCTATGAAATTGTGAACTGCTGTCTATGGTGCGTGTTTTGTGAAGACTGCAGGTGATTTGAAAATGAAATGATTGATCCATGGCAGAAAACGAACTGCGAAGAACTCAAACAACCACCACCACCACCACCCAAAAGCGCTCAGAAATGTTACCACGTGAACCTGGGCCGTGATTCGCTGGCACCTCGTCCACCGTGAAGCCTGGTTTAAGCCAAAACACGTGAGGGGTACAAGCTGGAGATGTGAGGGGGCTCGCCTTCCCAGGTCACACCAGGGCAGCCACCCAGAACCCGGTCGCGACCTGATCACAGCAGTGAACACACGGGCTTCCTATTCTCGACTCTCAGCTCAACCCACACATGCGTGCCCCACGCCATCCAGGGTAGTCCACGTGTGAGCGGGTGCGCTCTTTGGATTTCTGGAACCATCTACGGCCATCTCAAAGCAAGCACCGGAACAATTCGGATTTGGCAGATGGGCAGAGAGGGGACTGGTGATTGGCAAAGGGGATGGTTTTGCTGCTTCTGAGCTATCACACTGAACACTGAACCAAGGATGGACCGGTGCATGAAGGGTCCGATCCTTGGTCCATTTGCTTAGAGCCTAGATTAACTAACAGCATCTAGCAAGTCATTGGATTATATTAAAAAAACACGACGAGGGACGTTTGAGAGTCTCTCCCAAGCTTGCACTAACGTTCTCCTCACTCTCTCTTTGCCACAAGGAAACAAACCTTTCCCCCTTGCGCTGCCCCTCCCCCACTCTCCGGAACCAGAGGAGGCATGGGCTCAGACGAGTCAAAGAGAGACTCCAAGGTCACTGTCCTTCAAACTAACCAGGACTCAGTGCCTCAGTGACAGACAACTCCTGCATAGGCCTCTCCCCAGACAGCGGTGCGGGGGGGGGGGGAGGCAGTGAATCCCTGGAGCAATCCTCAGCCTTTTCCAAAGAGAAAGAGACTTCTAGATCTCTGGAGGATAAAAATTGCTTCTTGGAGTCCTTTCCAGTCCTCCCTTCTTACTCTCGGGCCTCCCTCTAAGTTAGTGGTTCTCAACTTATTGTGCGTTGGACCCATCTGGAAATCTTGAGACGCAAACTGTGAGTCAGCAGGTTTGGGTTGGAGCCTGAGACTCTGCATTTGTCACAAGCTTCCAGGTGAGGCCAATTCTGCTGGTCCAGAGATCACCCTTGGTGCGGAGGGTCCAGCCTCCTGTAGACTCCACTCGGAGGCCTGCGCCACACGATGTACAGCGACCTCGAGCAGTGCCTACACCTTAAGCACGACATTCCGACGAGGGCAGGTGCAGCATCAACGATTCCTTCCTCCGCCACCATCTCAGGCTGAGGCCACCAGCCTCGGATTCCCTGCAAGTCGGGGGAGAGGGGGCGGGGGGTGGTCACTGCTGTCACGGCCGCATAGGTGGGAGAGGCATTTTCCTTCGGCAAAGATCTGCTTGGCCTCTCTTGAAACCTCTTCCCACTGCCCCCCCCCCCAACTCTGGAAAGAAACTGAGAACTCTGGGGGGAGGGGGGGGGGGGGGGAACACACCAGAGCCATATGGAATTCTCTATTTTTTCCCTCACACCATCTGGTTTGGGATCTAAGTACAGAATGGCAACTGCGTTGATTTAAGAGCCAACAAAATCTCCAAGCAACTGGGAAGGCGCTCACAGGGCTGGGTTTGGTCCCCTGGCTCCAGCCACAAACCGTCCCCAGCGTGTGTGCCCCAGAGGTGCGTGTGTTCCCATGCCTGCAGTCAGCACATGCAGGAAGGGCAAACTCTGTGCGCGTAAAGGCCCTTGCCGGATGTTTGAAAAGGATTCTGGAAAGCAGGTTGCGTGCTTTTGTTTCCTCCCCCTCAGACAGGACCCTGCTTGTTCACATGAAGTCTCACCAGCAGTGGGGTTACTACATTTCTCCTCATACCGTTCCAGAATCCCCAAAACTCTGAAAACGTAGGATTTGGGGGTTTTGTCTAGCTCATCTGGGAACAAAACCGGTACTGACCGGAGCTTACTTGGTTCCCAAACCTGACCCGAATGCACAAGACGCTGTTTCCGGGCTCCATTTACCAGGCCTGGGCGCTCCCCAGAAGGAGTGGGATCTGCGGGGAGCGCCCAGGCCTGCCTGGAGCTATCGGGAGGCACACAGAGTGTGCCCCACGTTACTTTCCCAAAACCCGAACTCTTCTGAATTCTGAAATGAATTTAGCCCCCAAAAGTTTCGGGGGAGGAAAAAAATGAAGCCTGTATTTTTCCTCTCAGCTGTCACTGCCGCTTAGATGGCCCGTATCCTGGTGTCTGGCTGTGGGGTCAGGAGCTCGTGAGCGACACTGGGACGCTCTTACAGCAACTGCTCAACAAGTAGCAACCAACAGAGGGTTTACGCCCCAAGAAGATACTGATGTTTACTCTTTCCCACCAGGAAAGACACTCAGGTTTTTTCTCCACTTCCAACCGGCTTGGTGTCTTCCAACACATTCTTAAAACAAACACCATTCTCTTTCAAGCAGTTTCTGGTAACTTCGAGGCCTTCCTGTCCCGTTATCAAATACCTCCCCCTCCCCCAAGAACTGTGCGCATCTAATGGTGCTGGGGGGGCAGGGCGGAGATTTTTTAAAAACAGCATGAGATAGTTTACCTATACCATTCACCTGTGTTAAGTGTGCAGTTCGATGGCTCTGAGTTGTGTAACCATCACCACAGTGTAACTTTAAAACTTCCCATCGCTCCAAAAAGGGTCCCTTGTACCCTTTAGCAGTCACCGCCCACTCTCCCTTTCCTCCAGCCTCTGACAAACAGGAATCCATGTTCTTTCTCTGTGCATTTGCTAATTCTGGAAATGTAATATAAATGGAACCAGACAATAGTTGGTCTCTTATGTCTGGCTTCTTTTACTCAGCATGTTTTTGAGATTCATCCATGTTGTAATATGTATCAACATCTCGTTCCACTTTATTGCTGAAGAGTATTCCACCGTATGAACAGACCATGTCCAACAGCAGTTTTTCAATCGAGATTCCAGAACCCTCTCCATTCCTTAAAGGATCTATGAGAACAAATGTCTATGTGACTTCTTGTTCATGTTTTCTAACTGGACTGCGCGCGCGCGTGCGAACACACACAGCTGGTGCCTGACAGCCATGTGTCAAAAGAAGAAACGCGTACTTCAAGATGTAGAAATCCAAAATCGGATTTCATGTTAATTAACCTGAAGCCACAATTTGGGTCTTAAAAGAAACAGTTTTATTAAATTAATGATAAGTGCTGGACTTTGTACCTCAAAGCGTGTCCTACATTGTACCTCAGGGTTGCTCTTTCTTGAGTTGTAGATTCTACACGATCATTTCTGACTGATTCCTGAAAAAGTAGGCAATGCAACTATTTGGGAAGAGTAACACTAAGGAATCTCGAAAAACCATAGCAATACTTGAAGCCTGTTGTGTTTATCTGATCCACCACCATCCCCTTCTCTCCACGTTTTAAATAACTTGAAGTCATCTGAGTTTCAGCTAACTGAGCCAGGTCCTAAGACAGGTGTAGACTTGGGGAATGGGGAGGGTGGGCGTTCTCCCCGCTTCTGGGCCCCCCATATCTCACTCCAACCTAGCACCTAGCAGTTCTGAGAGACCAGTGTTCCTTGTGAGCAAGGAAACCAGAAACCAGACCCAACAGACCTACCTGATGGGATCGAGTACACAGTTATCCAATCCTCATGTCATGGGCTTGGATTTTTCCTTCTCAAAGACAAAGATGTTCAAACAGAGCGCTGCAAAGCAGTGGGGCCAGGAAGCCACTGGGGGACACTCCCGGGGCCTCTTGGAGCCAAGGCTCCTTGAGCGCCCCGGCCCCGTTCTTAGTGCCGTGGAGGAGGACACACGTGACACCCACCACCACCCCCTGTCACTGGTTCAGACATTGGAAATTTCGGAGTTACCCCAAAGCTTTATGTCATTGCACACTGCTCCCTTTGAGAAGAAGAGGTGAGGGCAAGGAAAGGGGAAAGAGGGAGAAGAAAGAGGCCAAAGATGGGGTGGAATGGAGAGGAGGAGAGAAAAACAAAAGATGATTAAAAAAATCGTCAAGGGCCAATTCCACCCACGCCCCTGCGAACAAAGTAATGCATCAAACAAAACATAAAATAGCACCACACTGAAAGAGCCATTACAAATAATATTAAAGATAACAGTTGACTTGCTATTAGAATTCAGCCCGAGGCTGTATTTACCTGGACTGCTCAAGGGGCTAGCCCTGTCCCCCAGGGTTGGCACGGGATGGTACTGGTGGTTCTTTGAGCCTGGGTACATCCAGTGGTACCTGCCAATTTCCATTTCAGCTCTGCTGTTCACTGCCAATTTCAGGTGGCAAAGAGTCAGTGTCTCTATCTCCAGCAAAGATTCTATATCAGCATTTATTCTTTTACCATATAGTTAAAGGAAACGAGGAGTTTAAAAAACACGCGACTGAAACCACAACCTTTCCGTACCGGCTGATGACCGAGGCAGGATGAATCGAGAACGCTGGAGTCTCCTCCGTTCTTGACGTTGACGAAACTCACCCAAATCGCCTTTTCCTTCCTTCCTGTCACCATGGTGTGCCCCCACCCCGCCCCTCAGAACGCTCACTTTGGGCAGACACTATTTATAGTGGAAGTCCGGCTTCTCCCAAGACTGCTGTTCTTTCTGGGTGTTTCCCTTTTGGACCAACAGAGCGCCACATTCACTGCGGCCACACGAACAAGGGTGACTACAGGCTCACCCTCCGTGATGGTACCCAGCTGCAGCCTTGAAAATCTGGCCAGTGACCCCATGGCCTGCTGAACCTTGGATCAAACTCCTGTCCTGCCACTGACATCTGCAGTATTCTCTGTCAGCTCTTCTTAAGCTCAGTACTTTGGAGTCTAGAATGTTCTGGATTAAATCCTGTTCCAATGACCTCCCGGTGTCTGAGAGAGTAAGGGCTGCCGGTCTTGGGCTCCAACCACTGCTTCCTCACACACATGGTGACGAGTGGCCTCCTGGGGACTCGGGTCCCTAGCTGACAGCAGGACTCTCTTTCCCACTTCTTAAGGGACCGGTGGGAAAGATACTTATCTAGCAGTGTGCCTGACCCAGAGACGGCTGCTGGGAACTTAGTGCAGCCACAATCTTAAAATCCCCAAGAGCTCAAAAGCTCAACTACGGCCAGTGTGTGTCTGCGAATCACACAGACCCTCACAAAGGGGTTAGGCCCTGTGGGGCGGCCACAAATATTTCAGGAGAAAAAGTGATTCTGACGTGGGTGTGGGCCATGACTCCATCGGCAGGTCAGGGTTAGCATGCTCCACGGGGCGCCTGGGACCGCTGAGGGGGAGGCTTGGGCCAACAGCCACGCTGCGGGGCGACAGAGCGAATGCCTGACCAGGGCCACGGAGAACCTCACAAAGCCTCCACGGAACCCCACGGGCAGCGCGCACGGTCCCCCAAAACTCCCGAGGTTCTCCCCCACTGGCGAGTGGAGCCTTTTCTAGGCGGTGTTTCAGAGAAAGCCTTTATGGCGTCAAGGGAAAGCAAAACTGCCTCTTAAAAGACGTGTAAAAATGTTTAAAGATGTTTGAAAGGGGGAGAAAAGGGGGCTGGGGCAAGATCGGACCTGCCCAAGGACACTACCTGCAGCCGCCTCGTCGTCAGTGGTGCCGAGGGCAGCCCCGATTACCGAGCGCCCGGGACGCGCAGGCGCCACGCAAAGCACGCGGCACCTGCTACCTCAAAAACGCAAGGTCACGGTGTCGGCCACAGCCATCCTGTGAAATCGGTGCTCTCAGTGTTCTAGCTCTCCAGATGGAGAGAGCAAGGGCAAGGAGAAGGGAGGTCACCTGCCTACGACGTCATGCAGCCAGGGGAGGACGAGCCTGGGTACGAACCTGGGCCATGTGACTCCGGAGGGCAGGCCTCCGAAACCCCCAGACCAGCCCACTGCAGCCCGCGCATTTGCTACAAGTCTCTCCTCTTTTGCTGAGGCTGTGGTTCGCCCGACAAGAGCTTTACTGAGGTCAGTGGGGAGGTGAGCTGTACCTCTGGGCCTCCTCAAGAAAGGTCTCAGGTCCCAAGCTCTTGAGGTTATTTCGGGGTTCTGGAAAGGACTTAACTCTCAACTTTCCCCGGATTTAGATTTTTGCTTCACTGCTCAGGAGATGCTCTCTCAGATGTGGGTTGTGCTACGTTGTCTGAGAGCCAAGACACCCAGTGGGGCTGGTGGAAAGAACCAGAAGCAGGGTAAGTGGCTGTGAGCCCTCCACATCAACCTCCGGCAAGAGCACTGCAAGGAGCTCGAGCACTTTTGATCTGGAAATTTCTCATCGTCCTCTAAAAAAACATTTCTCTCTCCATGCCCAAAGCACAGCAGGTGCCCCATAAATGTCTGCTGGAAGAATATCTGGTTGAAGGCAAGGTAGCACCCAGGGACCCTGTGGACCAAGAAACGAACCTCCAGGTCCCCCACCACACTGACCTCACCCAAGGCAGGCCATGCAATTCCCTGCATCTCTGCACAGGATACATCCATTCTCTGTTCTCATCTCCTCATGCATGGGGAAGTCTCCAGACAGTCAGGCAATCAGGCACAGGCTGTTAGGCAAGGACAATAAAAAACCATGGACTGCCCAAAGCTTCTGTATTTTCTGACCCAAACATGGCGGCCATGCCAGACATGCTTAGTTCAGCGTAAAAATATTCCTACTCCAGCAGATGTGGAGATGGGGTCAGCAAGTGGATGGCTGTTGTCCAAGACTTCTGGGAAGGCCTTTTTACAACAGTAAATCTTTAGACATGAAAGAAAAGAAAACCATGTCTCTTTTCTATTTTGGAGCCAAATCTCGGAGACATGAAATATAAAACTAATGCCAAAATTTCAAAGAGCACTGCGGTATCATTTTTGTTTAAAAGGACAGGGTCCCAACATTTAGGAGGGAGTCACAGGATTGCACGGAGAAGCCTCAGCTTGAACGGTCTAATTAAAACACTGTCACAATGCTGGGCAACTGGCAAAAAATGGGAAAATGGACCCACACAGCCAGGAAGGTCCTGGCTGAGGCCCTACTGAGGGAAGCCTGCAAATGTTCCCCTTAGGGAGCGGAAGCCAGGGATGGGCAGGAGACCGCCCTATATTCTGGAAGCAGCACAAAAGTCTATGACATCTGAGCTACTATGTACAGCTGGGGCTGAGGGGTGCGGTGGTGGCTGACGGTGACAGTCACAACCGTGGGTGGTCATCACCAAAGTGGGTCTGAAACAAACAACGGGGAATTGAGGAAAGGAAAACAAAACAATGTACCTTCTTTGTACCTTTTTTGTCCAGTTACTTAGACAGTGTGATGTCTTTCTGTGACAAGGCTGTGGAGTAACTGGACTGCAGACCGGTATACTTTCTGGCATCTACAAAATTATCACCGGAGGCAACTAAGTGACAAAGACTGAGCTTCCTTCGAAAGACCATACTCCCTAGGCAAGGTCTTTGAAAGCTGGGTCTATCATCCTTCATTCTGAGGTATTATTTCAAATATTAAGGGAAAGCTCTAACAACACCAGGCAGAGGTCAGCAAGCGATGGCCACCTGTTTTTGTCAATAAAGTTTTATCGGCACTTGGCCACATTTATTGGTTTATATACTAGCCACGGCCGTTTCATGCTACAACCGTAGATTTGAGTAGTTACAACAGAGACTGCGTGGCCTACAAAGCCTAAAATATTTACTCTCTGGCCCTTCATGGATGAAGCGGGCTGACCCTGGCTACTGAACGTGGCTAGGAAGGCTTGGATACAGAAAGAAGTCAACGCAATTAATCAAATCAGCCTCCAAAAGAGAAAGCTAGTTTATTTTCTCTTTCTACATGTGTCTGGGAGAGACAGGTCCCCGGACTGGCTGCGGAGGAAAGTTCTCCCCTCTGCTACCGTCGTCCTGCTATTTAATCTGCCACCGAGACGGCAAAATTACGCTTAAAACCAAGATCCTGCTATGTACATAATGGTCCCTAAGATGAGTTAAGTGCCCCTGTACTCCTCTCCCGTGTGCTGGGAGGATAGAGGATGGACGATGTTTCAAAGGAGAGGATTATTAAATGAACGAATGAATGAACAACCAGGTACATTCGTGCAGCTGAGACCGGAGCCTCCCTTTCTTACAAGCGAGCGTGTGTCGCCATGTTCCTCCGTCCCACAGCCACCCCTATTCCTGGTCGGCCATTCTCACAGGCCTGTACATTTGGCCCCAAGGAGAAAAAAGCAAGAGCATGTCTCTGGAACAATCCAATTCATCACCAAGTCCCAGTGAGGGGAAATTTACTTCGGGGGGACACTCACTGGCTATTTCACACGTTATCAGATACATCAAGGCTCCCAAGTCATGTCATTAAGGTGACTTACTCTAAATCGACATGTAGTTTCAAGTCACAGAAAAATGTGATTTGTAACATGACAATCTGAACTCGAGGTTTCCACCCAATTTCATGGAAGGCAATTCTAAATTTCCAGAAACGGGTCGGAATTCTTTGTCTAATGAAACAGCCAGGCCAAGTCTTGAAAAATACGCTAACGGAAACAATCTAAAAGTAGGAGATGCACTAAATGACTCATTGAGATCTTCTCCACCCTTAACTTTCTAAAAAATAAAATAAAACAAGGTAAAAACAAGCTGTATCAGACCTACCACATACGTCCAGCACCATCTGGTCCGCCATGCCTTTCTCTACAGCCTATTCCCCAGACACCCTCTCTCCAAATGTCCTCCCTGGCAGACTCTTAGAGGGAAAAACTGCATCTAAAACTTTCTCTGTACCATATTCACATAATCAAGTTAGAAATTGTCAATAAAAATCTCAAAATCAAATCATTTCTACATCACCAGGAAGAGCATAACATGTTAAATGTGTCCCTCAGGGTTCTTAGCTCACAGGCCATATATTCTAGAAGAGTTTTCTTCCTAAAAAGAAAATCAGATAGGGCCCAAAGTGCATGCATTTAAATTAAAACAAACAAACAAAACCAAACCTAAACATGTAAGACATTATATTTGATCAAAAAATTTAAATGAACGTGTTAATTTTTTACACAAGTCAACAATCTGAATTCATTTCTTATGGTGCTTACGTCCTAGAATTTATTTCCAATTACACATTATTTCCAATTTACTACATTTTTTTCTTCCTGTGTGGTTTGATGCCTGGAACTCTCAAAATTATTTCAGCAGTAACTCTAGGCACTTAACTAGCTCGGCAATAATTGTTTCAGTAGATTCCAATTTCCTACATGTAATAAAAACAATTTGCATCACAGATTTTTTTCACACAATACAGCAATTGATTCAATTGTTTTTCTACCCCTTGACTGAGCACTCCCAGCACTTCCAGATGCACTGGTTTTCACAAATGAATTGACATCAAGTAATACTCCACAGAGATAAGTAGAAACCTAGCTCTCCATCTCTTGATTAGTGAGGCCCATGATCCTTTGACTGTCTTATTCATTCCTTCCACTTATTCCATTTCAGTGAATCTGTTTCCTCAATCCTTACACTTTGATTCAATTTAATGCTTCTAATGTAAAAACCGTTATTTGTAATAACCTGACATTTCTTACAGCCATCTGAGTAGACCAGCTTGCTTTCCTTAAATATTTCTGGGTATCTACTGAATACTTCTGGGGAATTTTGATCTAGTAGTGTTCTGGGGCAAAAGCCATGAGGCAGTTTCAAACACACACACGCACATATACATATATATATATATATATTTTAGGATTTGGATTATTTTTGTTTAAATTAGGAACAAAGTCCTCCTGATTTAAAGAAATAGCTCTCTTTGTCCTGCCGAAGGAAGTGAGGCCAACTAAAAAAGTCGAAGTCAATTTATAAAGCTAAGTGTAATTTCTATTCTTAATATTAATCCAAACAATTCTCCAAAGTAGTAATTATCCAAAGCTAGAATTCCCATTGGGCAGTAATACCCCAAATTAAGAGGCAGGTATGACCCCTAGCACCAAGTACTAAAAACTAATGGGAAAGGGGGAAAAAATAGACGTGCATGAAAAACTCTTTGGGAAGTGACAAAATGTATAGGATTAAATTTCGGAAATTAAATCCCTTGCTGAAAGGCTTAAAAGAAACATACACACACACACACACACACACACAAACAGATCCACCAGCTCAAGAATTACATCATGGCTTCTCCAATGATGTCAAAATTTTAAACGTACATTTCAAGGAAATCAACACTTATCTTATAAATTTCAAATGAAATTGGAAGGAATACTGGAGTGACAAGCAGGCCGAAACATCTGTGTGTGTGTGTGCGTGTGTGTGCGCCTAGAATGACAATGGGCAAGCAAACCGGGGGAAATGACAAAGGTGATACTTGTGCGGGTTTTGACTTGGGTGCAGCCGGCCCGTGAACTTGTTCGGCTACACGAAGATTAGCAGATAAGTCATCCTCCAAATCAGCATTGGTGACGGGTCCCATAGTGACCACAGCCCCCGGGGCGGTAGCGGACACATACGCCCAGGCCCGGATGCTGACTCACGCCTGAACTCTACACCTGACAACAGCATGCGTTCACCTGGCATGTCTGAATTACCTCAACAGCTAGTGTCTATCAATGTTGGCAATTTTTAAAGTTCCTCCAGGCATCATCTCTTGCTTCTAATTTTGTCTCTGAAACCATGGCTAACTCACTAGTGAGTTTTTGCCTACAGATGGTCAATAGATGTAGTACATACAGCCTGTGGATTCGGTGTTAAAGAGTATTTAGTTGATGTAAAATCATAGCAGTCCATAAGACTACACGAGGATGATATACAGAGCTGTGCACTAAGGATTTCATATTGGCTTTATGCCCCTCACTTGCTTTTGGAGAGGAAAAAAAAAAAGGTATGTTTTTTGCAGAGACCAAGATGGTTTTATTAATGGTTTATCAATGGTTACTCCGGTGTATTAATATGGTATTCGCCATAGTACCATTAACATGTTTGGTATTAATATGGTATTAAAGTGGGCACTAAATGAAATCATCTGTTTTGGGAAAACATTGCGGTGAACTGTGAGAGGCATCCCCCCAACAATGCTATTACATGATTACGCCCCACAAACTTGATCTCTAATCATTGCAGAACTCAATCTTTACTTTTATCTCCATTCCTCAGCTTCATAAATACTCCCCCAGAGCTTCTCTTATTGCTATTTGGTCACTCATATCAAATTAAAAATATAGGGGTGACTGGGTGGCTCAGTCATTAAGTGTCTGCCTTGTGCTCAGGTCATGGTCCCAGGGTCCTGAGATCGAGCCCCACGTCGGGCTCCCTGCTCCTCAGGAAGCCTGCTTCTCCCTCTCCCTCTGCTGCCCGCCCTGCTTGTGCTCCCTCTCTCGCTGTCTCTCTGTCAAATAAATAAATAAAATCTTAAAAAAATAAAATAAAAATAAAGTGAAATTAAAAATATATACATACAAGAAAAGGCAAGGTTTCTGTTTTGTTTTGTTGGGGGAGGGCGAGGTAGGTTTCATGCGGGGACTGAATTAAACTGCCAATTTTAAAATTACAATCCTTAAGGCCACCGAAACACACACTTCAAAATGGTTAAAATGGCAAATTTGTTACGCAGATTTTATCAGCCTTTGAAATTTAATTAACTGGAAAAAAACGAGATTGCGCTGCTTAGGATACAATGTTATTAAAGTGCTGTGTACAGAAGAAATTCCGTATAAAAACAAGCAGCTTCTACCCAAGCCTGCTCGGCTCAAATACATGAAATTGCCATGTTTGTAGGTGTAAAATGGTTGACTACTTCAGCAATTTCAGACCGTTCAACCCACATCTTCCTAAGTAAAACGGAGTTGTGCTCCCGCCCTGGAAAATCACTATTGCTTAGTGCCTGTCAGCCGGTCCCAGGGCCGGGGAGACACCCTCAGCACGGAGGCCAGTGGTCTTAGAACCACTGCAGGTGTAGACTGCGTTCCTGCGCCTTTAGGACAGTCTGTAGCTTTGGGCGCGGGAGACAGGTGAGCGGCGTCTCACATTGTAATTTAACAGTGGCTGAACGGATTCTACAGGCTATCGCACTCGAGACCGGTTTTTATCTAGGAAAAGACAGATGAATTTTAGCTTCTACTTTCGGTCATTTTCTTCCTGCTAAACACGTATTTCTCTAAAAAGGCCATTCCCTATGTCAACACTGTGGTAAGATTCCCCTTTAGGGACAGGACCTTTACCAATTCTCCTCCTCCAAATCTCCAAGTCATAAATGGCAGGGGACCCTCCACCCCTCTCCATCAGCACCAAGGTGACAGAGCTGACGTCCCCTCTCTGAAGCTCCTGCTGTAAATGGTTATTACATGTCACAGTCAGGGCTTTATACAGGGAAAGACTACTATCGTATTCAATAAGAGAACTAGAAAACATCCAACACCACTACGGCATTAGCGGAACCAAAGCATATTTAGTCTGCGGCCCCCTCCAGATCCTCCCCAGCATTAGCAGAAAACAATGCATTCCATGCCCCTGGAGTATAACATGCAGAACGTGGGGACCCAAGTTACGACTCATTATATTAACAAGAAAAAAAAAAAAGACCGCTTCCCCAATTCAGCTACCCAAGGTGACAAACCGTGGACATCCTGGGAAATCCCACATTCGGTGGGAAGATTTGGAACAGGAATGGGCTGAAGAAAGGCTGCTCTATTAATCGAACATCAGCCTACAGGCAAAAACCACCCTGAAAGCAAGACCATGCCAGAGGGATTGTTTCAGAGCTATTTTACGAGAGACACAAAACCGGGCTCCCCCTTTGAAAGCACCCCCCAGTGAAAAGCTTGAAACAGGCTATTGTCAGAGTGCCGGGTACCTTTTCTCTCTTGGCTTTGTTCAGTATTTTCCTCGGCTGCAGTTTCCATGGCTGGCTTCATACCATCCACCAAAAATGCTTTTCCCCGCTCCCCCAACACACACTCTTCCCCTCTTCCTTTTCTTTTGGACTCCCCTCCGTCTCTTATTTACACCGTGTGATTGAGAGGTTCTGTTCTTCACTACAGTAGATTGCAGTCCCTTCCAAGATGCAAAAGGCTCGTCAGCGTCAATTTCCCCTCTGCCTACTGGTCCAAAAAGACAGCTGCCAAGGAGCCGGCGGCCACACGTCAGCGAGGATCCCAGTTAGAACACGGCCATCCTGCGCCCCGTCCCACTGCGGCTCCCGGGGGACAGCCGCGCCCCCGCCCGCCGGCCCCCGCGCCGTTCACTCCCGGCCAACTGCACCCACTGAATGCTAATCAGCTCTCCCAGGGAAGAACAGACTTGTGACATCAGAGGACGGGATGTGGAGGAGAAGGGGGGCGGGGGGGGGGAGAGGGAGAGAGGGAGAGAGAGAGAGAGAGAGAGAGAGAGCGAGCCCCCTCCCACCACGTGACTCAGCTGGTCGGGATGTCAGTTCTCTCCGCTGAACGCTGGGCTTCCACCCCTGCAAACTCCTTCCTTCCACGGGGGACCCCTTCATGGGGCATCACAGGCTGACTGAAGTTCGTTTACCTGACCCCGGCAGAACACAGGCAGAGGACCAGCCCATGGTCTCTGCTTTATTCACTTTCTTTAGTATTTGACTTTCACGCAATCTCTAGTAGCTAGCTAGATTTAAAAAATATATATAAAATATATATATAATATTGGTATATAATTATATATTATATATGTACCGTAAGATATATATTAAAGAGGGGAGAAAAAAATACCTAAGAGGGAAGAAAACCCACAGCACAGATTTAACAATAGCTGTATGAAATCTGGCATTAGAATTATAACCCATTCCCTGTCTACAACTAACACATGTGACAGAAAGAGAAACTCTTGAGCTCAAGCCCAATTCATAAAAAGGTATCCCTCCATATTTAAAAGTAAGCGTAACATGCGGCAAGTGTATCTAGCTGACATTTTGGTGACTTCGTGGAATGAAAATGAAAATAGAATGGTTTTTCTTACTGGACATGATTATTTCTATATAGAACTTTTATTCATTAGAACCTCTCCCTCAAAGTCAAAAGGGTGTTTTCAAGAGCAGTCTAAATGTTCAGCATAAAGGCTATTATTGTACCGATAATGACTGACTGCTGGTTTCGCGAGCCTTCGCGCATATCCAGAGACTATGGGACCACAGTTCTCAACACATCCAAGCATAGAAAAGCCTTTATCTTGGTCATGAGCCGTATGTTTCCAAGCATCACTGGTTTCTGTACCATGGTTTAAGCATTTGGTTGACCCACTTACCTTCACTGTCTCTACTAAAGATATTTATAGAAATTCAAGTCAACTACAGGGATGAATACTGAAAACCACAGGGTGAAGGGTTCCCTGACAGGTAACAGCCTTCCAGTTGGTTGGGTTGAGCACCCACCTCAGAAGCAAACATTAAGACAAGTTAGAGACCACCCTCTCCTACAAAATCTCTTCCAAAAAATCTGACGCTTTGTTGCTCAAGCCTTCCAAAAAAAAAAAAAAAAAAAAAATGCAAGACCTTGAATCAAAATCCTCCAACCACCTGATCTTTTAATGCCTTAGTTTGAGATAATCCCCCAAACCTTCTACATTCAATACCTCTGGCTCCTGGTAAGCGAGAAAAGACTTTGAAAACTCGTTTAGCCTGTCCAACATTTTCTTCTGATTTTACTTCTCATTTTTCACTGGAGCCAGCCTCCTAGAAGTCCACACCCACAATCAACTATTCCTTTAACTGATGGTCCTGGCCAATTTCACTGTCTCCTGGCGAGATCAGTGAGGAGCATGGCAGCTTAAAACTTCAGACAGTCAGAAAGAGATTCATTTGTGATCTAACGACATCCATGGGAAAACCTGATGATGTGTCCAGAACAAAATTAAAAAAAAAAAAATTCAATCCAGCACCAAAAGGGACAATCATGACTAGCTATGCTATTGGTTTTGTTTTAAAAGTGTCTAGCAGAACCACTCAATTATACACCCGGCAGAACACTTTTTTGGCTTTTACTTAATATTACTGTTAGATGTTAAAGTGGGAAGGCAGAATACGGAACAGGTTCTACATTTAATATGGAAGACATTTTCAATTTAAGGACAACTCTGGTTCTGTATCACAGTCTTAGAAATCAAAACCATTGGACAAAATATTCACAAATTCTCCAGGTGATACCTTGATCTACGTTCCCCTTGAAGAACTATATGCAAATGAGCAAGTCACCATTTCTGCCTTGTTCATAACTTCACCATGTTCTTTTCATGAGGCTGATAACATAGGACAATTCTTAAAGTTACCTTTACCAACAGCCTCAAAATCTCACTGATGTTTACGAAAAACCATCTGAGTTGGAAAAAGCATGATAGAAAAACTGTTAACAGCGAGAAAGAAGAGTATACATTTACAACATTTCTGGGGTATGCCTCCATGTTTGACCAGAACAATCAGATACGTATAATGAGTAGGATGGGAGATGGCTCATAAAGGTGAAAAATATTCTTTGAGCCCCGAGTTAAGTCAGTCTGACCGATGAATACTTCTGAAAGCCAAAACAGGAATAGCAAACACACAAAATGGGCATATTAGATCAAACCGCACAAAATTGCTAACACTGACTAAGAAGAACAGTAGTTTCACAGGGTTCACCATTTGCAAGTGTTCTGCAGAATTCCAGCCAGTTCCATAAACACGCATGGAATCACCTTCCAAGTGCTAACATCTACGAGAGGCACAAGACTTCACGAGAGACGGTGCCCGTCTCCGAGTCACCCCGTAGACTGATGGGCCCCAGAGAACCCTCCTAAACCAGGGTGACCCTACAGGCTGCAGGCCCTCTAGTATCACGACAAAGAAGGTGAGAGGAGAGAAAGAGAACGTGGGGACAGCTCCGAGCTGAGCCGAGCGGGCTGCTGCTGTTTGGTTGGGACCCGCCCGGTAGGAGAGGGTAGGGAACGGGGGAGAAGGACAAGAGTAGGAAAGGACGGGGCAGAGCAGGGTGGATCAGCGCAGGGAACGGAAGACAAGGGAAAGGTAGAACAGGGAAGGGAGAGAGCATCCCTGGCAACATCAGAAAGCACACGGACAGGAAAACGGTACTGTCAGGGTGTTGGGGAGGCGATTTTTCCGACAGAGGGTCCAGAGCACAGGGTGTGTGTGTGTTGGGGGTGGGGACTGGGGGAGGGAAAGGAAGGCAGGTGGCCGGGGCCGTAGGCTGGGAATCGGGTAGGCTGAACGCCTTGCTGATCCCAGAGGCAGGGGAGCGGCAGAGGGAAGGCACTAGAACGGATCTGGTCTGTGCTTTACAAAGGTCATCGTGTTGGTCACGAGGCTGGCAAACAAGCCACCGTGAGGGCTGAGCTCTGGCCCGGGCGGTGGCGGGGGGGGATCCCCGGTGGCCTCCCACTGGGTACGTGCACCTGCGGCTGGAAAAGGAGGGCACGAAAGGCTGTCTGGGCTTTCCGGCGTGGATGGGTGAGGACATGGTCATGCCGCGCCCCCCCCCCCCCCCGACGGTCCTCCACAAGTACATTTTAAATGACTGGGGAGAGACACGGACTCGAAACACACAGATCAGAATTTAAGGAACACGGTCTCTTAAATATAAAGGGAAAGGGAAACCGTGAAAGGGAGGGTCAAAGAGGCTACGGAGGAAAAATGAGAGCAGCAGAGGAACGAGGCCCAAGTGGAAGGAGAGAAGTAGAAGAGAGCCCACGAAGGGCACAGGGTGTCCGATGTCATCCAGTACCGCACGAGGGGCGAAGAGGCTGAGGGCCGACCAGCAGAAAGTATCTTTACCACCGAACAGTCACTGGAACTCCCAGAAGAGTCTGGGTCGAGTGATGGCAGGGGAGGAGCAAGGCCCCCGCGGCTTCTCCACCGTCCTTGCTCTCCGAATAGGATGCTCCGGGGGCCCGGGGGACACTGCGGTCTCATACCTGGGGCTCAGGCCTGTGCCTACCCCTCTTGGTCCAGTTTCCAACTAGTCGAGAGAATGTTCATTTTTCTCCTACGATCCAGTCCGTGACTATCTTCCCAGGTTTGTTCTGTTACGAACAGTTCCGGCCGGCAGTTCCACCACGTGCGCACTCGGGTGTGGGGTCCCCGCACCAGCAAGCAGCTCTCCCCCACCAGCGGGACGTCCTGCAATTCAGCTCAATTCCGACACTCGCTACCCAGGGGCAGCATCGGGTCCCACATGTTAAGGGCTCGGTCCCAGAGACTGCGCCCCCCCACCCCCGCCGTCCGCCCCCCCGAAAATTCAGATGCCAATTCCAAGTCTGGTTGTCACCTGTGCTTCCCACTGACCAGCTATAGATCAGAGGCTCCAACGACCCGCTTCCTTCTTGGATTCAATTAATTTGCTAGACCAGCTTCTGGAACTTAGAGGGACTTTTTACCTACTAGATTATGGGTTTATTATAAACAATACAAAAGGACACGAATCAAAAGCTAAATGAAGAGATGCACAGGACAAGGTATGGGGAAAGGCGCAAAGCTTCCAAGCCCTCTCCCAGCACGGGACTGTCCCCGAATCTCCATGTGTTCACTGAACCCTGTCCTTTTGGGGTTTTATGGAAGCTTCATGACAGAGGCACAACTGATTGAATCATTGGGCAGAGGTGGAGATGGGGGGCAGGCAGTGGGCCTGGGACTGGTAGCAAAGGCCCAACCTCAGCTTGGAGAAGTCAGTCACCTCATTAACATAAAACAAGACACCTGTGTGGCTCTCCATTACAGGAAATTCCAAGGGCTTCCGGAGCTCTGTGCCAGAAGTGAAGACCAAATATATATTTCTTATAATAAATCGCAATTTCACAGGCTCCTAGTAAATTCGCCTTACGTTTCTCATATGCCTGTGATCCAAATAATTGATGGAAGTGTGAAACTTAACAAGACCACGCTGAGAGATTCTTGTGTAGGCCACTATGGACATCATCCTCGTCAGCGGACTGGTTTGTTCATTCATTCGTTCATTCATTCATCCATTCAACCAAGGCTCATTAAGCACCTACCACATGCCAGAAATTAAGTCACTACTCTATGTTACATGGCTGTGATTGTTCAGTCAACTGGGAATTCATCAAG